CCCTAGCCAATCAAACTTGTTGATTTGGTCGGGATAGGTTGAGAAGGCCCCGATCTACACTTCCACCAAGAGAAATTTGATCCCCCCCCACTAATCCCTAGCGGATCTTGTTACTCTTGGGTGTTTGAGCACCCTAGACAGTTGAGGTCACCGCGGAGCCATAGTCCATTGTGGCGAAGCTTCGTGGTGTCGTTGGGAGCCTCCAATTAAGTTGTGGAGATAGCCCCAACCTTATTTGTAAAGGTTCGGTCGCCGCCTTCAAGGGCACCAATAGTGGAATCACGGCATCTCGCATTGTGTGAGGGCATGAGGAGAATACGGTGGCCCTAGTGGCTTCTTGGGGAGCATTGTGCCTCCACACCGCTCTAACGGAGACGTACTTCCCCTCAAAAGGAAGGAACTTCGGTAACACATCCCCGTCTCCATCGGCTCCACTCTTGGTTATCTCGTGCCTTTACTTGTGCAAGCTTATTTGTGTTGTATCCCTTGCTTGCTTGTGTACTTATTGTTGTTGCATCATATAGGTTGCTCACCTAGTTGCATATTTAAACAACCTATTTTGATGCAAAGTTTAATTTGGTAAAGAAAAACTAAAAATTGTTAGTTGCCTATTCACCCCCCCTCTAGCCAACTATATCAATCCTTTCAAAGGTGTTGTACACATAGAGCTTGAAGTCGACGTGGCGTGGGGTGGACTAATCATCTACCATGGAGTTATGTTGAAGGTGGAGCTGAGGTCAGATGGAAGACTTCACTTGGTGCTGATTGAGGGGCTAAGGTGTAAGAGATCAAAGAGTTGAAACCTATTCAGCGGGAAAAGCGAGTGACATGCAGTTCGGACTATAGCCCAGTGGTCTGATGGAAGCGTGAAACTCGTCATCGGTTGACGACAATCGGTGATACTCAGCAGTGGGGGTTGAATGGTGTGGGTTCGCGACCCTTGAGACTCAACCGGGACAGCGGAGGCTCGACACGGTAATAGCGGCGAGGCGTGCAGTACGCACAGGACATGAAGACAGGCCAGGGCTCTGGTGGTCATACATGTGGTGAGACAACTGCGAATTTGACTCGTGATGACTACAAGCAACGGTGAAATTCCTTCATGTTTCAGACAGACAGTCAAGAAAGGAGCGGTGATGTTGAGTTCAGGTAACTCTTATGTGTGACACCCAATATGTGAGTTGTTCATTTTCATGCCGGCCAGTGATCAGTATGTGATGACGTTGGACTGATACTCTGGAAGTTGGGAGTACAAACTAGAGTAACAAGAAACTTTAATTTGCTCGAGTGTTGACTTTGATCAAGAAAAAAAAGACTACAAGTTGCAGGTGAAGTCATATTGAGTCTTTGGAGTAGCAGTGGTGCTCATGGGATAAGCTCAAGTCCAATGTACATGAAAGTTTGACACATGGACGAATTCAAGGTGGTGGAGAATATTCGCCAAGGTGGAGTTTGTTGGTGTTGTGTCGAATATTATTTACAAGGTAGGTTACAATTGGACTCTGAGTAGTATTGTGTTTAGATATGATATGGAGTCGTGTCCTATTAGGACACTTGTATCATAGGCCTCTCATATATAGCGGAGGTAGACACACGATGTAATCTATGCCAACATAATAGCACAAGAACGCAGGGGAAGCCGGCGTCCAGGGCGACCGGGTAGGTATTGTAGCGGTGTCATGTGGAGGAGCGTCCATAGTCAGGCCCCGGGATGTAGCCATATCGGTGAACCTCGTTAACAAATCTTGATGTTGTGCTTGTGTGATTGCTTGGTCCTCGGATGATCAACGGTATGCCTCGAATTTATTCTAACAGATGGATCCCTAGGCCGCGCTCCTCGCGTCGGTCCTCCGCCGCTCTCTGACGATGGCGGAGACGGATGCGCGACGCCTCCGCCGGAAGAATGCCATGGCGCTCTGACTCTCCATCGAGATGTCGGAGCGCAAGGCAACCAAGGATGCGGCGGCAAAGGCGAAGGTCGCCATGCAAACGAGCAGGACCACCTGCTCCGCAGGCTGCCGGGCATGAGTTGCAACTCTGACTCTGACCTGATGGACGACTCCACCTCGAGCTCCAACAACGACGCGCCTCCGCACGCCGACGCCTACACGGAGGAGAGGCACAACCACGCCGACGACCGGAAGGAGAAGGAGCCGGCGAGGAAATGGTGATTTCCTTCGCCCTTCCCCGTTACATTTATATTTTAACTATGTTATAGTTCGTAGTATGGACTTACCGTTGAACTCCGATGAACTTTGCTTTTTTTGTCCGTCGATGCAAAGTTGATTCGATGAACTGTGTGTTGTTGATTGTGTTTACATAGCGTTGCATGGTTTGTGTGGTTTTGAGGGTTCGAATATGAGGAACACGAGTGTGGAAGCCACTAAATAAGGCATGCCCGGTCAGTGTCCGCGGATGCGTGCGGGCTCTTTTACGGCGTTTGAGGGCCTGGATTTATAACTTGCGGGCGTAGATGCTCTAACTTGACACGGCTCGGGTAAGATGGCATTCAAAGGAAAAATGATACTTGCCGCCAAAAAAAAAGGAAGAATGATATTGTGCTTTTGATTTGACAAGGTGCTCCAGTTGCCACTAACCATTTTACCTGCAAACAGAATGGCTGAAAATGGTGTTGTACTTCTGATTTGACAAACAAACAGAATGGCTTTTCCGTAATGTCCGTATCACTGGACAGCGGACAGCACAAAGGAAATTTCGATCCAACTTTATTGATGCGTCAAATAACCTACAAGATCGCACTATCCCTATATACATCATCGCACTCGCGTACGTCTCTACTCCTCTTTGTCCACAGGGACAATGTACAATCAACTAGCACTACTACTCTTTTTCCACCCCCTCCCATTCTGGTTTTGACCTCTTCAAGCAGCATGTGCAACCCAGGGGAGTCGGTGCTCGATTGAATTGTCACCTGCCGCGCGAACCCAATAGAATTAACTGCCTTCAAATCCACCAGCAGCGTTGTCTTGGCGCCCTATTGGAACGTAACAGGGCAGTAATAGTCATCGTACGTGCACCTCCTCCTCGAGGACATGAGCCTCCCCAGCTTCCTTTTGCAGAGCTCGAACCTCGCTGGACGGTCGTCGTCGACGCTCTGCGTTGCCGCCGTTCTTCTCGGGATCCCGAGCTGCCGCTCCAGCTCGGCGAACTCCTCGGCTCTCCGGATCACATGGTCGTAGCAGATGTACCTGCCGCCGGCCGTGTTGTCGCCCATCGCCTCGTACACCCGGACGTGGGCCTCGGCCACCGTCGCCACGTTCGCCGTCGCCAGGACGCCATCCGCGAGCATGACACCAGATCCTTTGAGGTACGCGATGGATGCCGTAGAGTTGCGGCGGCGAAACCCCGGCCCCGTGACCAGCGCGGGGCAGACGGTGACGAGCTTGAGGTCTCTCCCCCGGGCCGCCCTCCAGGCCGCCTTCTCTGCCGCTGTCTTCCCAAGTGCAAACCATAGCTGAAAAAGACGCACCTCACATCATTACAATGCCCACAGATGTACTATCTCAAAAATCAGAAACTCCGCGATGCAGGAAATTAAAACCCTAATGGATTCAGATTGCTTGAAACCACGGACCTTGTTGTTGCGGCAGAAGCTCTCGTCGCTCCAGCAGTTCTCGTCCAGGATGGTCGGGCCCCGTCTTTCATTAGGATGGTTCTGCCACCACACGCAGGCCAGCAAGGACGAGGTGAAGACGCACTTCCTGACGGATTCCGTCCTCACGCACGCTTCGATCACCCGCTCCGCTGCTTGGGCTTCCAAGCTAGCCATATGTTTCTGTTAGAACAAGATCCACAGTGAAAAGGTTAAGTTCATGTTGTTCCAGTGAGATGCATGGTAAACCTGTCCTGGTGTTATGCTCTAGTATTGCCAAGGGAGTTGATGTGACCGAATTAGATATGGCGCCGACCGGACTAAACTGATGGCATTTTCCTAGACTCCAGGAGATTACCAGACTACCCGCGCAATTGGAGGACATAATGTTTCACAGTTCAGATCAGTCGTTAGCGTCTTCTTTATTTTGGGTTCTACTAGGTCAGATGAAACGGCAAAATGTCAACTTTAGGACACGTCACGAAGGTGCACTTTTCACTAGACCTAGTGGCTACTGGCTAGTGCTCGTGGCAGGCAATAATACCGAAAATGACACATCTATGCGGTCCTCAATAGTTTCACAAAAGGTTAACTGAATCAGTTTGGCTGTTACCACCAAACATAACCACATTGGTCAATTTCACCCCCACTAACCGCAATCTGTTGTCCATCCTCTACCAACCATTCAGTATGACTTGGAATACTTTGGCGTTCAGTTGGGTACTTGCGCCTTGAGTTAGATAGATACACCGCGCCTTCTGACTTCAACCCTTTAACCATGTCCTGCTCCTGGTCCATGGGTACAGGAGATTAAGGCTTTACTTGGGTCGTTTGCTGAACGCAAGATTTTGTGGGTTCGTCGTTCTATTAATGTTGCCGTGCATTAATTAGCTAGAGTAAGGGGTCGGTGATGAACTATGTAAGGTTTGGCTGGGGATTCCCCAGACTTTGTTCTTTATGTATGACATTCCGAGGTTTGATGATTAAATAAAGCGGCAGTATTAACCCTAAAAAAAACACGTCCTGCTTACTCGGTCTTGTCTATCGTTTGTTCCCTTTACGGTTTTCGTGCTGGTCAGTTTAACAATTAGTATTCCCCGCAAGAAAAAAAAAGTTTAACAATTAGTATTTCAAAATCACCATCTTTTAGAAAGTTCTTCCCTCGTCGAAATTTCCAGATCAAGAAACTACAAATCCTTAACGGCTTGACTTTGTGATGTGTTTATATGTGCACGTGCCAGCTTGTATCACCCATGTCTCATGTTCTTATTTTTCTTATAGGAAACTAGTTAACCGAACAAAAGAAAGCAGGTCCTCTTGCTTCCCTGCGTGTGTTTTTCGACGTGACGACTATGTAGGGAGCAGACACATAATTTATGGAGATTGTAGCAGCGACGATCACTCACCGTGTAGCCGGACATGCCCCCGGGATCTACAAACGCCGAGGTGTGGAACACACCGGTGCAGCCGTCGAACGCCCGGTGCAGGCTCTCGGGTTCCATCACATTCGCCATCACCGTCCAAACCCCATCCCGGCCGTCCTCCCCGAACATCTCCATCTCCCTCAGCTTGTCCAGGTCCTCTGCCAATAATAAAACAGACATATCAAGATCCACCACGTAAATACCCTCTTGCCATGTCATGTTGTAATTGATTGTGCAAATGATGTGCATTAGCCATAGCCTAACAATTTGTTAGCTGATGACCTAAAAGAACAATTTGTTAGCTAATGATCCAACAAGACATTTGTTACCTGTGCACAATAATTTGTTCAGCCAATCAACGGGTTGTTGACCGAGTAGCTAGTACTGTACTACTCCTTCTGTTTCTTTCTCTAAGTGTCGCTCACAAATGGCTGGCAGCATTAGTGCACTCCCTGAATACCAATCACGATGTAGTTGACCTAGTAATTTCCATCATCACGTCAAAAGAATACGGTTGTTCTGGCGTGGAAAATGCAGTAGATATTATTGTACTTCTTTGATTTGCAGACCAGTTCATCACCAACCGGAGGAACTTGAAAGAAAGCGATTGACCAGGAGGAAGGCGCGGAACGGAAAGCAGGGGAATTTTTTAGGAAGCCCCATATATATAAATTGTGCAAAACAGCATGAGAGCGAATTTGCGAATATAGTAATACCGAGACAAGTGTTATCTGGGCCATGTTCAACGTTCACCAGATGCTGGATTGTTTTGTAGCCACAGGTTCGATCTTCATTGATTAATCAGCTCTTTCGCTTGTTTCTTTTGGTCATTTATTAGTAGCTAGGTAAAGGCAAGCTGATTCGACTTGCTTAGCGATGTACAAGTCCGAATCTTCTAACCGGTGGAAAAGAAAACCACGTCTCTGGATGCTGTCTATGGGTGACGGCTAAGATTTCCTAGTAGCATATCCTAGCAAACATCTACTCTCTGTTTCGAATTACTTGTCACAATGATGGATGTCATTTCTGCGATGAGTAATCCCGAACAGAGGGAGTATTAAATTGCAAGAACTGGTCATTCGGGGCGTAAAGAAAATGGGGCGGAACAGTACACAAGCTAGTAGCTAGTGGTCTGGAATCATGAGGTTGAGAAGAAAGGGTGGTCCGATGCAGCACACCAATCCCAGTGCACCGGTTGGTTAGGTAGCACGGTGCCATCCGAACAAACTTTTGTTACAGGAGAGACAGAGAGTCGGGCTACAAGACGCTCGTTCGAAATGGTAAAATATGCCAACTTCTTACAAGCAAGGCCGTAACGAGTGTACGTTGCTGAGAAAAAGACTTGCCACAACAAAACAGGCCATTGACTTTCCACGTGTACTAGATGCCTACATGTAACAGTACTGCCCTTTTGGTGCAAGGTTGTAAATGCACCCAAGGTTAGATGCGCCAGATCGCTCCATAGCAGTGAGTTATATGGACGTACGGATGAATTCACGTATCAGAGGTAAATACGACTCCAGTCCATAAAAGAAAGTGTAAATGTTGCAACTGTGAATCACGCCTGGATTCAGACGTAGGCACTAGGCAGGGTGTGGACAGAAAACGACATGGCGCTCTGCCACGAAGGTGCGTCTCGCCCGCCACAAAGAACGATCCTAAAACAAATGATGTATCCGCGTATGTGTAAAGGTTGCAGTTCTTCTGAAGACGTCGCAACCGTGGCCGGGCCCCCCAAATCAAGCACAGGAAGCAGTAAAGGGAGATGAGCAGTTGGTTAATGGCCGGCCGGCGACGGCGAGGCTTTAGGATGGATGGCTGACTGACCTTGTGTCTCGAGGGCGAGGCGCACGGTGTATCCGTGGCGGAGGAGGCGGTCGACGATGGCGAAGCCGACGAAGGATATGCCGCCGGTCACGCACACGGTGCGCGGGCCCGCCGCGCCTTCGTCGCCGCCGGCCGCGCGCTTGACGTCGCTGTCGCCGGCCGAGGGGCGCCACCCGGCCGCGGCCGCGCCCCCGTGGAAGAGCGCGGCGCGCATCTCCTCCACCTCCGCCTGCATGCTCTGCGTGCTCCGTAAGACGCCCATGCCGCCTGGGCGGGCGCGTGCGTCCACCCCCCGGGTCTCTCGGTGGCGTGGTTTCTGCTTCTGGTGGAGTGATTTGCAAGTGTCAGCTGTGGGGTGGCTGCCTGGCTGGGCTCTGCGAGACGTGGATAATTATAGGAGGAGAGAGGAGAGGAGGTCTGTGCTCGCAGGCGCGGCGAGGTTTAGGTTAGGTGGGCTCTGTGCCGCGCTCTGCTCTACGGGTCGTCGGAGCGAGTCGTGGACTGGTGGTTATACTACAGGCTTGGAGCTTGGAACTGGATTGTCTGCGCGCCTTGCCTCGAGGTAGTTGCGCTGAGTGGCTGGGATCGCTCAGCCGTTCTGATCCCACGGTCACTGTCTAGCTTGCGCAGGTGAGGGCCGTCCAGAGAAATCGGCTCTAATAAATACTGTAGACGGGGATGGTGGAATCCGCATGTGTCCATAGATACACCATGGGATCTGCGCTGCAGAAGATGAACATGGGCTTGGTTCGTGGCATGGCAGGGCAGGCTCCACTATCTCCTCTCTTGCAGACTGCCACGCTCTTCCTCTCGGTGGAGGTAATGGAAGAGGTACTGTTGTGGACTCGTGGTTGGCTTGCAATGGGTTTTCCCCGGGAGGCAGGGCGATCCACCCACGTTGTCTGCATTAACAAACAGGGCCCCGGAGATCGTACACAAAATTATGGGTCGCTCCGTGGCGGTCCCGCTGTACAGAACGTCGCCGACACCATACCCTCCAGCAGATCCAAGAGCATTGCATTGCTCTCGTGGCTGAAACAAAACCAATCACCTAATCTCCTATGTCCAAGGTTTTTAGTGGGCCACGTAAAAGCATTGCAAGGGTAAACTTTAACAGAATGACTAATTCACATCTAGATGTTTTTAAGGATGTCACATATAAGTAGTTCGTCACACAATAATGGGCTTCAAGATTTGTACAAAGTATTGTTTAAATGTTTTTTGCTGATGTTGTATGATGTCATGCTTAGATGTGACATAGTTATGTCACATCTAGATGAGTCCTAGCCACACCCAAACTTTAACTCCTCGTTTTTGAAGGAGCTAAGAGCATCTGCGGACAGCAAATCCGGGCCCTCAAAGACGTGAACAGGAACAGGAACCTCCTCTCGCTCTCGCTCCGCCCACGCGCCGTCGGCCACGGCGGCCACCAAAAATCACCGGGAGATCTACTCCGACCACATCATCATGTCTCTAGCTAACCTCAAGTTCGATCAAGGCCAAGCTTTTGAAGAAGAAATCTGGAAAAAGTGGGGTGTTCGTACCAACTTCACAGATGAAGAAGGCTGTCAGTGTCAAAACCGGCGAATCTCGGGTAGGGGGTCCCGAACTGTGCGTCTAGGCGGATGGTAACAGGAGACAAGGGACACGATGTTTTTACCCAGGTTCGGGCCCTCTCGATGGAGGTAAAACCCTACTCCTGCTTGATTAACATTGATGATATGGGTAGTACAAGATTTGATCTACCACGAGATCAGAGAGGCTAAACCCTAGAAGCTAGCCTATGGTATGATTGTTGTTCGTCCTACGGACTAAAACTCTCCTGTTTATATAGACACCGGAGAGGGCTAGGGTTACACAGAGTTGGTTACAATGGGAGGAGATCTTCATATCATATCGCCAAGCTTGCCTTCCACGCCAAGGAAGGTCCTATCCGGACACGAGACGAAGTCTTCAATCTTGTCTCTTTATAGTCCGGGAGTCCGGCCAAAGGTCATAGTCCGGCCATCCGGACACCCCCTAATCCAGGACTCCCTCAGTAGCCCCTGAACCAGGCTTCAATGACGACGAGTCCGGCGCGCAAATTGTCTTCGTCATTGCAAGGCGGGTTCCTCCTCCGAATACTTCATAGAAGATGTTGAACACAAGGATAGTGTCCGGCTCTGCAAAATAAGTTCCACATACCACCGTAGAGAGAATAATATCTGCACCAATCTAATTCTGCTGACGTATTCCGCAGTCTGACATCACGCCACGACCAAGCCTTTATTCGAATCGTTTTACTGTTCCTCCTCAGCGCGTTTAGCGAGGTGGTTTCCTTGGCATGTCTTGTCAAAGCAGAGATCGTGTCCCCTTATTCCGGGATTCTCATCAATACGGTCGTGGGTAACCCAACCGTGCCTTTTGGTATGACTCCCTAATTGAAAGCGAGTCCCAAACGGTTACGGAGAGGGCTCTTGGTATTCAACTCCTTTATAAAGAGACCAAGGCTCGACTCCTTTCTTTTCAATCCAATCGAATCCGCCCCTCGCCTCGAGTTCCAACACCCAAAGCTCTAGTTTTAGGCGCTTCGGACCTTCGACGATGTCCGACTCCGACCTTCAAGGCCGGTGGATGCCTTCCTCCGTTACGGAAGAAGACGTGCGAAAACTGAGAGATGCCAGGTATCTAACCGGCGAAATCTCGCATAGGTTGTCTGCTCAAGGGCAGGCCATTCCCACTCCCCAGCCCGGTGAGAGCGTGGTGTTCACATCTCGCTTCCTTCGGGGGCTAGGCTTCCCGATTGATCCCTTCGTGAGGGGGCTATTGTTTTATTACGGGCTGGAATTCCACGACTTAGCTCCGGAGTCCATCCTCCAAATCTCATCATTCATTGTCGTGTGTGAGGCCTTCCTCCACATTACTCCTCACTTCGGATTGTGGCTTAGAACCTTCAAGGTGGAACCGAAGATGATCGAGGGGCAGCACGCTGAGTGCGGAGGAGCTATCATAAGCAAGGTGGCCGACGCTCCATGGCCCGAGGGCTCTTTCCAAGAGGAGTTCGGCTTATGGCAACGGGACTAGTTTTACATCACAGCCCCCAGGGGCACCAAATGGGTGGCGCCACCTGCTTTTTGCTCGGGTCCCCTGTCGGTGTCAAAACCGGCGGATCTCGGGTAGGGGGTCCCAAACTGTGCGTCTAGGCGGATGGTAACAGGAGGCAAGGGACACGATGTTTTTACCCAGGTTCAGGCCCTCTCGATGGAGGTAAAACCCTACTCCTGCTTGATTAATATTGATGATATGGGTAGTACAAGAGTGGATCTACCACGAGATCAGAGAGGCTAAACCCTAGAAGCTAGCCTATGGTATGATTGTTGTTCGTCCTACGAACTAAAACTCTCCGGTTTATATAGACACCGGAGAGGGCTAGGGTTACATAGAGTCGATTACAATGGGGGGGAGATCTTCATATCGTATCGCCAAGCTTGCCTTCCACACCAAGGAAAGTCCCATCCGGACACGGGACGGAGTATTCAATCTTGTATCTTCATAGTCCGAGAGTCCGACCGAAGGTCATAGTCCGGCCATCCGGACACCCCCTAATCCAGGACTCCCTCAGTAGCCCCTGAACCAGGCTTCAATGACGACGAGTCCGGCGCGTTAATTGTCTTCGGCATTGCAAGACGGGTTCCTTCTCTGAATACTTCATAGATGATGTTGAACACAAGGATAGTGTACGGCTCTGAAAGATAAGTTCCACAGGCCACCGTAGAGAGAATAATATCTGCACAAATCTAATCTGCTGACGTATTCCGTAGCGTGACGTCACGGCCAGGCCTTTATTCGAATCGTTTTACTGTTCCACCTCAGCGCATTTAGCGAGGCGGGTTCCTTGGAACGTCTTGTCAAAGCAGAGATCGTGTCCCCTTATTCCGGGATTCATCAATACGGGCGTGGGTAACCCAACCGTGCCTTTGGTATGACTCTCTAATTGAAAGCGAGTCTCAAACGGTTACGGGGAGGGCTCTTGGTATTCAACTCCTTTATAAAGGGACCAAGGCTCGGCTCCCTTCTTCTCAATCCAATCGAATCCGCCCCTTGCTTTGAGTTCCAACACCCAAAGCTCTAGTTTTAGGCGCTTCGGACCTTCGACGATGTCCGGCTCCGACCTTCAAGGCTGGTGGATGCCTTCCTCCGTTACGGAAGAAGATGTGCGAAAGCTGAGAGATGCCAGGTATCTAACCGGCGAAATCTCACATAGGCTGCCTGCTCAAGGGCAGGCCATTCCCGCTCCCCAGCCCGGTGAGAGCGTGGTGTTCGCATCTCACTTCCTTCGGGGGCTAGGCTTCCCGATTGATCCCTTTGTGAGGGGGCTTATGTTTTATTACGGGCTGGAGTTCCACGACTTAGCTCCGGCGTCCATCCTCCAAATCTCATCATTCATTGTCGTGTGCGAGGACTTCCTCCATATCACTCCTCACTTCGGATTGTGGCTAAAAACCTTCAAGGTGGAACCGAAGATGATCGAGGGGCAGCACGCTGAGTGCGGAGGAGCTATAATAAGCAAGATGGACGACGCTCCATGGCCCGAAGGCTCTTTTCAAGAGGAGTTCGGCTTATGGCAACGGGACTGGTTTTACATCACAGGCCCCAAGGGCACCACATGGGTGGCGCCACCTACTTTTCGCTCGGGTCCCCCACCACGGCTAGCGTCATGGGTTAATGAAGGACTTATCTGGGGGACGCCCAAAGACGTGCCTTTGCTGCAGGACCGCATTCGAGATCTTCTAGAAAGAGATATCAATTTGACCGTAGTGGCGCAAGTCATGCTGACTTGCTGCACACTGCCCTGCAAACGTCGACTTCTCCGCCTGTGGGAATTTAATTTGGAGGGACCGCGAGTCCTCCAACATTTCATGGGTGCGACACCCGTGGAGATGTACAAGTTGTTCTTCGGATCACAAGCAAGGTGTCCGGATTTGTCCGAGGACGCAGGTCTGAGCTGCAATCGCCCGGATGCTAAGGTAAGTAGCCCCGTATTTGGACACACCATCCGTATTTTCATCCCAAAATTACCCTTAATAGAGTTGTCCTTTGAACAGGAGTGGATAGTGAAGGCAAAGCTTATCAGGTGTCCAGCCCCCCTGCCCGAGACCGCGCCGAATCCCATGCTAACTAGGATGCTAGAGGTTGCGCTTTTGGCGGAAGGCGAAGGGGGGAACCAAGGAGCTACTGCCTCCGTGAAGGAGGCTGTTAGGAAGGGAAGAATCAAAAATTCCC